TATATATATATATATAATGATATGATCATAAAAAGCTCAACACCAGAATGTCACTTAGAAGATCTAGTTGAAACTTTTCTCTAGTTAAAAAAATATAATATAAGGTTGAATCCCACTAAATGTGCTTTTGGAGTATCAATTGGAAAGTTCTTGGGACATATGTTGCCAGAAAATGGCATTGAGTTGAATCTGAACAAGTGTTAATTAAGCAATTTTAGATGTGAAAATCCCTAAATGTGTTAAAGAAATAAACAAGTTGATGGGATGATTAGCCGCTCTGACAGGATTCGTGGCACAATCATTTGAAAAAGACCATTCGTTTTTCACAATGTTAACGAAATATCGTCCTTTTGAATGAGGTAAAAGTGTTAAATACTTGTATGCAAGTGGATAGCATTTTCATAGACTTTTTTTTTTTTTTTAAGGTTTTCTTAGAACTCCTAAAGGTTTAGATTTTGTTTGGGTGATGTGTACAAGTTGACTAAATCTTCACATTTCCTTCCAACTAACATTAGATATCCCTTAAAAAGGTAGAGTAGCTTGCACATTAGTAAGATAGTTAGGTTGCATGGAATTCCTTTTAGCATAGTGTCACACTCTAGGTTTACGTCAAGGTTTTGACAGAGTTTATATATAGATTTAGGAATCAAGCATAGGCAAGTTAAGTTCACCATACCACCCATAAACAATTGGTCAAACCGAGCGTACCGTCTAATCTTTCGAGGATCTTCTTAAAGCTTTTGTGTTAGAAGAGAATGGTAGTTAAGAAAATTTCTTATCTTTAATAGGGTTTACCTATAACAACAACTATCAATTTAATATTTGGATGACATCTCATGAAGCCTTGTATGATAAGAGGTATATGTCACCTTTATGCTAGTTTGAGTCAAGAGAAAACCTAGTGTTAGGACCTGAGATAGTTATGCAAATTAAAAAAAAAAAAAAGAGTAAGGATTATCTAAGAGAGGATAAGAATAACTCATAATAGGTAGAAAAATTATCATGATATGAGAAGAAAAGCCTTAGAGTTTAATAAAAACAATCAAAGTTTCTTCGTAAATAGGGGTAGAACGTGTTTTGAAATCACATAAACATCTTCCTTATTTCATTATTCTTTTCCAAATTCTTAAGTATCAATGAAGGCGCATATCAAAAGGCTTTGCCATTATCCTTGTCAAACATCCATAGTGCCTTTTAAGGGAGGGTGAGTTTTAACACCTCAATTTTCATAAATAAAATAAATAGAAGGTTTTAATTCAAATAAATAAATAAAGGGTTTTGAGAAATTGATTTTTTATGATAAAAAGGCATTTAAGAAAGATAATAGGTTATGAGATAAAAGTGTTTTCTAACTAATGGATTTTATTCCTCATAAGTCCAATACACTCTTTATATAGATAGGAGTCTATTAGGTTTAAACCTAATTTTATCTCATTATTTTTTTTAGTGTCATCTTGGAATCCCATCATAAAGTTGTGAAACCAAAGAGGAACCTTGAGGGGGTCTTGTTGCTACTACCTCGTCTTGCCTCCTTTCTTGGAGTTCACTTATCCAGGTAAAGGCAGTGGATTGTCTCACTCAAGGATAAAGTATGGGTTTTGGAAGAGGGGTTGGCCTTGATCCTAAGGTAATGTTTATATGTTTCTTAGAGGGGTTATGAGTACCACTAAGCTTGTGTTGTCGTATGATTTGCCTATTGTATGTTTCCTTTTAGTTCCTTTATGTATGATTTGTTGTTGACTTTGGGCTTATGATTCGGTCATATTCCTATTGTCTCCTTTTGAGAAATTGAATGTTCTGTGCATTAAGAGTACAAATTTAACTTAATGGAATAATTTGGGAGAATGTGTGTTGAACCTTAGAGCCTTAAAATCAATTAGAATGGATTGGGTATCAAATTTAATTCATAATTGGATTAGGATCAAATGAGAACCCTTATATTAGGCTTGCAATTCACAAAGAAACTTAATAGAATGGTTATAGGTATGAGAAACATGTAATAGGGTTAATTTTGCATATCTATAGAATTGTAGAAAATTGTCAACATGTTATGCATATATAGGGACATGAACAAAGTCTAAGAGCCCCTAGCAGCTTTGTGGCTTTTGTCTCCAAGATGCCGAGTGTTATTGATCAGATGATGTTGAGTACTAAAACACATGAAAGTAAACTAATGTTGAATACTAAGAGCCCATACCAACACTAAGCACCATTTGACATATAAAAGTTACATAAGTTAAGCTTTAAGTGTGGCAACAATCACACTTAACATGAGAGCTTTGAGAGTAAGGTTTTCTCTCTTTGAAATAAAGTGCCTAACGTACCTTGTTGGTAGAGGTCACGTGGGAGTTCTTCGCTAGACCTTGGGGGAGATTAGATCTAGTGGAAAATCCTAGTGACTATGTTGATCCCATAGTTATGCATTGGGATGTAGCAATGGTAGTTGGATGGCCCTCAATAGTCACTCAGTGGAAAGCATACTACATTGAGGTGGCAAATGGCCACTTGCATGCTTTATATGTTAAACACTACATTTACATCTAGTTCACTTTTACAAGAATTTTGAAATGGTACCACATGTATGAGATAGAGGTCTACGATGCATCACACTAAATCTCACACACACACACACATACACACACACACACACACACACACACACACACATATATATATATATATATATATATATATATATATAAATGTTTGATATTGATCTTAGTATGTCTAAATGTTATATTTCTTTTATGTTTGTAAGTTGTGCTTACAACCTTGTTATATCTTGACGTGATTTGAGATGTATCTCACTCTATATTTGTTGTTTGTGTTTGTATTGATTGTCATTTACAAGTAATGATGAATTTGTTTAGGATGTTGATGATGTGAATATAGAGGATGTTTATGCCTTTTAGTCCATGTGATGCTTTGAGACATGTTGTAACAAGCATAAGGCTAAGGAGGGGAACCATCTCTCAAAAGCCGGCCCAAGAGGTTGGAAAACCTCCCGCCTTATAAGGCCTCTTTGGTAAGGAGACCTCCCCGATGTGGGATTTGTTACATTACCACTCCCTTCGAAAGCCAGCGTCCTCGATGGCTGCACTCCACGGTACTTCACTCACCGGCACTTCACTCATCGGCACTTCACTCGGCCTTTTGCCGGTCAGAACCCTCCGATGGTCAGAACCCTCCGTGGATAGCCCTTCTCGATTTGGCTGGCTCTCAACGAAAGCACCATTTGTAACAAGCATAAGGCTAAGGAGGAGAACCATCCCTCAAAAGCCGGCCCAAGAGGTTGGAGAACCTCCCGCCTTATAAGGCCTCTTTGGTAAGGAGACATCCCCGATGTGGGACTTGTTACACATGTTCTGTTAGAATGTGTTCTGTTAGAATGCCACATTGAGGCATTATATTTATGATGTTTTACCTTTATGATTCATCTTTATGATTAAGAAATTTGGATTTCAATTTTGTAATGGTCATTGGAGTTCCAAAAGCTTTGTTTAATTTAGTTAAAGACAATTATATTTAGTTTTGAAAGTTGTGTATGGATGTGATACTCTGTACTCGCAAAAAACTTTTTGAAAATTTGTTGTTTTAGTTAATAATTTGCGATACATTTTTAACTCAATATTTAGATGAAGAGGGTGCAATATCAAGTTTCCTTTCCTTCTAGTCCATACCACAAACTCTAATGTTCAAAATTCTGTGTTATAGTCGTATATAGAGATCTACAAAATCCAAGAGCAAAAACACACACCCATGACCTCACTAAAGTCAATAAAAGGAAATTAGTAAAGGCAATTGACATTACATTTCATTTTGTAAAATTCCTAAAGTCAATAAAAGAAAATTCAAAATTAGTTGTTGACAATACTAAAAGACATACAAAAAAGAAAAATGCCACGTGAAGCTCATTTATAGTTACTCAACAAACTACCGTTTTAAATTCATTTTCTTTAAAACAAAATATGAGAAAGCACATGTAGTTTTCAAATGTAATTTTCAAATATAAGTATATCTTGAAGGAAAGAACATGTAGTTTTCAAACACACAAATTTTAATCTTTTGGAGGAAGAACAAATAAAAGAGAAAGATAAAATAATTTTAGTATTTCAAGAGAAAGAAATGTAATTTACCAAGATATAAAGTATACAAATCCCTCTTTCTCATCTTGCTTCTCAATATTATGGAGATACTACCCCGATCTCATTTTGCTTAATATTTTAGTTAAAAAATGTCCCATTTTGATTTTGATTTTATAATATTAATTAACTATAAAATAGTTTCCCTATTATATATATCCTTAAACATTTACCATGGAGTGATAAAATAAAAAAATGTTTAAAAGAGAAAAAAATCTAATTATAAAATCAAAAGTATTAATTATATTTCTTAATTATCATACCAAAACATGAGATAAAGGGAGTAACTAATAAGATTCCTTAATGTTCAAGGGTAAATAGCCAAACAAATGTATGGGTAAAGAACTATAAAATTGACTATAATGGTGACATTTATTTTTTATTTTAATGTAGATTTTAAATAATCATTGATTTTTGGAACAATGTAAGAGTAATGGGATGATCATTCTCTTCGAAAAATTGTTTTATAAAATTCATTCTTATGCTAAATGTATTAGTTTTGAAAATTTGTTCCTCATGATGATCAATAACTTATTAAAGGGTTGATTATTACCTTCCAAATAAACATATAGAAGGATTGTGTGTCTACTTTGTTTTTCACATCTACAGACCGGGCACGATACCAAAGGATTGTTGCCAAAAGAGCATGTCCCAAACCCTAACACATGGAAAACGAAAATAAACTTCAAAATAGTGAAAGGATCAAACACTTCACATTTACTATATATATCCATATATGTAACAATATAATACAATTTGAAAATTTATAGAACAAACTAAACTTTCCTAAAAGAATGTCGCCACCAATTTTGACACTAATAACGTATCAAACCATATAGATATAAAGACAATATATTATATGCAACAAAGGTTGAAATTTTCCTTATTCTAGTACACTTGATACACATTGTGTATGCATTAGCGAATGAGTTGCTTTAGACTTTTAGATGACACAATTGTAGAAAAGTATACTATTTATATATTTTTATAATTGACCAACCATTGTATTGCATAAATTCCAACATGAGATGGAAATAGAGTATATAAATTGAATTCCTTGAAACTCACTATTCTACAAACATAATCAAAATCACATTCTGATCCTCTAAGCATGAAACTTATAAGAACATATAAGACAAAACAAAGAGTAAATTCATAACTAAATCTATATAAGTAAATAGCACATCACCGTGGTCAATTTGCTCCAGAGGTAGGAAGATGTTGCTCCCACAAATAGAATGGCAGCTACATAAGCCATTTCAAGAATTGAAACACAAATCCAGAATACCTAGAAGAAAAAAAACATTTAGGGAAATCCTGGATACACGAGGGCTTAACTAAGTCATATAGGATGCTACATGAGAAGAACGTACTCGTTTTTGACCCAAAAGTACTGTCATATTTCGAATGCCAAACTTTTCATCTCCTTCAACGTCCGGTATATCCTTGATGAAATGAAAAAAAATAATTTTTACTTTCACATCTAATACACATGCATATATTTTCAAAAATATAAGATTTTATCTTTTTACCTTGAACAATGCTACAACTATAGAGAAGATGATTGTGGATACTATACCAAAAAACAATGATCTTGGATAAATAATTGGCCTCTTGAACACATAAGCCTGCACATTTTAATTTTATATACATATATTAGCAACCAAAAAGCATCTAACTTGGTAGAAAGTTGGCTCTACTATATAAAAAACTAAAATGTATCTACTAGACAAAATGTTATGTAAATTACTACTATGTAGCCTAAACCCTAAAATATAGGAATAAATTTGTGTAATATAGTGTATCATGAATTCAAATAAAGCAAAACAAAAGCTTGGATGAAAGATTTTTTTGTTGCAATTGTGTGCTCAAAAGCTAATGTATTGACAAGATCACCTTCATGTGAAGAAATAATCCAAGTTGACACATTATTCCTCGATCAATTATGAAGTTTATGGTTGTAAGCACCGAAGATCTCTTCCATCTCAATAGAGGCAACTGAGAAATTTTAGAGACATAAAAAAATGCAGTCACTATCAAATAAAATTCCCAGACCAAGGCTTTCAAGAAGCTAACATTCAAATCTAATTTTTTAAAAAGAAAACTAGTATCCCAGACTTTCAATTCTTAACCAATCTTTTACTATACATAGTTTCATTTATAAAAAAGAAAATTAAAAGTAACTACAAGTATTGTATATCACATTTTTAAAGTTATTGACTGATCTTTATTAATTTAAAATAATTCATTTTCTTATTAAGTATAATTTTGAAAGATGTTACAATGAGCATGGTCGTGCTAAGGGAAGCATGACTCTACAAGAGGTTTGAATTTTGGCTTTAGATGCATCTACGAGGCACAAAGGTGCTGAAAGCAGGCACAGTCACCTATTCAAGGGTTTTATAATTAGTGTCTCAAATCTAGAACAACAAAGAACACCCATGTTGAAATCTCTACCAGTCAAAAGTTGGGGATTGTGAATTAAATGTATGTTAATTGATATACTTGTTATATGCCTAACTTACATGAATGTATTATACCTGTTATATTTTTGAAGGCGACACCTTTGACACCGAAAGGGTAGTAAGAACTAAAAAAAGTTAAATGATTAAAGGAAAAGTTAAGACATAACATCTATTTGGACAAAGAAGAGATGTTCGTCTCCATCATACCTCAAAGGATTATGTTATATTTCGATAAGAGAAAGTTGTATTACAGTACAAGGAGAGCACACTCTGAGAGTTTGAGCTAAAATTTATCATAAGGATGAAAAAAGACAAGTAAAATAGAGATTTAAATGCCTTATTAAATATAATATTCTGTTATGTTTTATATCTTATTGTTTTACTTGTATATGCCCATTTATGTTATATGTTATTGTAGTGTGCCTAGGATACTTACTACGATGTTTGTTTCGTTAGTATATTCTATCATATTTCAAAGTATATAGAATGAGGAAATAACTGAAGGAGAACGAGTTTCCATGCTTATACCTTAGAACATTTACATATTCTTATAGCTTTTAGACTCAATACCTCTTGAATGAATATTATATTTATGGTTATTTAAGATTTATAGGTACACCACTTGCCTTTTATTTTTTTTGTTCTCTCCAATATCCTCCCGAGATTTTCCATATTGTATATTATATTTACTGCAAGTATTTATTTAGACTAGACATTCACTGTATAATGTTCCCTTAACTATGATAAAGCACAACACAAGTCTTATTGATATTGAAATGAAAAAATTGTAAAAAGACTCGCAACAATTAATTATGCCTTAAATAATAACGAGGAAGGAAAGGAAGTTTAAGTGCTATTGAAATGAACTCACATTTATTGAATAAGCAGATGCTAGAACAAAATGGGAGGAAATAACCAAAATTAATGGCAGCGAACCTATAATCCATCCGATCCCAAAACTCTGTAAAAAAAGAATAAAATGATAAACCTTACTAAAGATTATCAATTAAGTTTATCTTGAACAATATGTAATTAGAAAAAGTACATAAAAAATATAAAACTATCACTATCATACTTTGTCATTAATTATTATTCACCACGTTGTGGTTAGTTTAATGACTAGGACATTGAACTCATGTGCAACCAATGTAGTAAAAATTCCATAATTAAATTTTTATTTAATGGATAAAATTTATTATTTTGATGAAATGTTTTTGGGACAAACCATTGTAAATATATCAAATAGTTTATTAATACCTATTACATTAGACAATTATAAGAGTGTGGACTTTTTTAAAGATAAGATCGAAATTTTAGAGAAAACAAATTGATTGCTAAACAAAGACAAGATCATAATCCTAAAGATATTATCAAGGAAAATATTTAAATGAAATGACTTTGAGTTCTTAGATGGTAACAATCTACAGCAGGGTGTAGGATCCCAAAAGCATATACATAGAGAAAGAAACCACATATTCTGTTAATTATGAAAACTTTTTGATTCTCATACTATTTCAAATATTAAAAAAAATAAAAATAAATATTCATATTTGCATGTTTAAATTTATACCAAGTAATTGAACAATAATAGAAGAACTAATTGGTTCCCTTTTTTTTTTTTGTTACAAACTAATTAGTTCCCTAAAATATAGAAAACAATTTATATTAATAACAACGAAAATCAAGTACGAGACATGATATGAATCAAAGTTAACATAAAGGAAATTTAATACCGAAATCAAACATGACGCTGTAATAATGACAATAGTTCTAAGAGAAAACTCCCCGGATGCCATTGGAAGATAAGGTTTGTTTATCTGCAATTAATACAATATAAAATAAATATATTATTTTTTCAACAACAAAAAAAGAAAAATTACACAATAAAAAGTTACTTTTGTGATCATATAGAACTTTTTTGGGATGGTTTTACACCAGGTATTGTAATACCATTGTATAAAACAAGACCTGTCAGAAATTTTATGTAAATTTTCTCTTAAAAAAACATCGGTTGATAATTATGAATTTTGATGTCTAAAGTAATGCATTTTTATAATAATTTGGTTAAGCTATTTTTTAAGTCTCATTTTATTTACATTATTGAATTTGATTTTTTAAAATTTTTAATTTAATTCAGTAATTAGTTTTTAAAAATAATAGTCCATGTTGCTATTCATTCCAAATTGATACCGCGACAATATTAATTAAATCAAATGAAAGGATAAAATTATTTTTTTAAATATAAAAGATTAAATTAAACATTTTTAAAATAGATAAAATAAATTGAATAATAATTGGAATAAAAAGTTATACGGTCTATGTAATATTTAATTAAGTGTTTTTATATTAAAATCATATTAGATTATTGAAACAATAAGAAAATACAAAAAAAATTATTATTTTAAAAATTTTCCTAATTCTTTTATCTGTTTTGCATTGGTTTAAAATTTATTATCAGTTGTTGTATGATTCAAGATTTTTTTTAGTTAATGCATCAATATCACATGATTCTCGATCAGATTAGTTGAACTGAATGGTTCAATATAATTTTAAAAAAAATGATTAAAATTGAAATCAATTTATACATGAAAAAAAAAATAAAAAACTTAACCACATTAACAAGATAACGATAGACAACAAATTGAGTACTAGAAATGGGAAATATGATCACAAAAAAAAAAGTTATCTAATTAAAGAATTGTACCTAGGTAAGTTTACTAATCAATGAGGGTCTCTGATTAGTGGTTTATTTGACTCTAGGTGGGAAGAAATATAAGATTTTTGCTTCGAGCAAAATTTCGTAATCTCTTGTTTTTCAGAACTTGAGAAAGAGAAATCTAGAGAGCAAAGTTGTGACTAGTGGTTTTCTTTTTCTCTTCTTCCTTCTAGGTTCTTCGGGTGTGTGAAATTCGTAGTTGGGATCAGTGGTGGTGGTGTGCTTGTTCGGGTGTGGAGCTTTGAAGCTCAAATTTTCCTTCTTCCTTTTCTCTGATTTTGAGAGTGGGAAATTGAGGTAAGGGAAGTTAGGATGAATGATCAATTGATTGGTTGTGTTGCATGTGAGTAGGATTCTAAATTGTTACACGAATTGAATGATTTTCGAATTTGGAATATTGTGTTGGTGGGGATTTTGGTGAAGGTTAGGGAAAATGATGCATAATTGATGATTTTGACCACCTTTAGAGTTGCATGTGTTGTTTCTTGGTGAATATTGAATTGTAAAATATGTATGCATGTGTTGTTTGTAACACATGTGTTGGATTTTCTGTATTTCAAATGGATTGAAGTGATTCTCAAAGTCTACATTCATAGATTTCTAATGTCACGTTGAGCACGCCTTCGTAGTGCTTGGCGTAGTTTCAACCAAAGAGCTTAATGCTTCGTGATGTTAAGCATAGGATCAGTAGCTTCAAGTACAAGGAGAGAGACTCGTCTCAAGTTGGGACGGTGTTGGACGTATTTTGAATGGCGTCAAGCCTAAGAGGTTGGGGAGTCTCTAACTAGGTGATGTTGGATACTATTAAGGTGATGTCGAGGGTGAGTCAAACAAAGACTCTCTACTTGATAAGAAGTTGAGCATGAGTTTTGCCACATTAGGCATAAGGTCATAGGGGATCTCCACCTTGATCATTCTTGGCACGATTTGGATGGTGTTGAGGGTGAGTAAGGAAGAGAGTTCCCTACCTCAATGGTGTGTGATGATTTTTCTATATATGTCGATTAGATATGAAATATGTAGATGTTTGTATAGTGTTGGATGATGGTGAGCATATGTATGTCATATATTGGTATGATATTCTTGATCTCTTTATGCATGGACTGAATGTGATGTATATAGATGATGTATGCATGAGGTATAGCTTTTAAAAATGCAATATGGAATTAAGGCATGTTAGCTAATTTAGGACTTGAGGAAAGGAAATTGTTTTAGAAAAATAAAGATCCAACATAGGAAATCTTGGATTGGTGTCTGGGTAGGGCACTATTGGAAAACCCTCCTTAAGTAGATGTGTCTCTTGGAGTGGTTTGAGGTGCGTTAATGTCTCTTCTTGGTCCTTAGTTAGTGGTTAAGTAGGATAAGAGGTCAACGACTATAACCCTTAACCAAGTACTTGGAAAGGTTGTGTGATTCTTTGATGATAATCAATGGAAGAATTTCATATGTGACTTGGTAATGCATGCATACCAAGGTCATGGTAAGCCTATATTCAACTGTATTATTCCTAAAGATGGAACTATACTTTCCTAGTGTAAGTGACAAGACACAAGAAATCAGAGGAGGGATTGATATCCCATTTTGTTATGATCGAGCTAATGCTTTAAGTGTAAAAATGATTGGATTGATTTGGTAGGGTGGATAAGGAGAGAAACACAGAGAGAGAGGGGGGGGGAGAGATCTACTTACTCAAAGAGTAAGTCTATCTAGACTTATTTCACTCAATAACTCATGTTTTATATTAAATTTTGACTATCCAACTGTTAAATTAAAAATTCTTTATGCATAGATAAAATCTATGAATTTTTAAACAATTTTAAAACTGTTTGATACTATATTGGTTAAAAACCTAATTTGGTCCCTTATAATATTTTTTGTTTCAATTTAGTCCCACTTTAATTTTTGGTTTCAATTTGGTCCCTAATAATTTAAATTATTGCAATGTCGGACTTCCGTCCAAATTATTTAAACAGAGTTAACTGTTGGCCACGTGGATCCCACATAGATGCATAGGTGGATGCCAAATTTCTTTAATGCATCTGGAACCAGAACGGCCCATTCTGCTTGCACTCTTGGTGTGTTAATTTTGTACCTGGAACAGGCTGTTCCAGATGCAAAATTTACATACCAATAGTGCAAGCAGAACGGGCCGTTCTGGTTTCAGAACAGACCGTTCTGGTTCTAAAATGCCAAACATAAACAATCGATGATTATAGTTCACGTCCATGATTCTAAATCACGATTGTGAATCGTGCAAGGAAAAAGACCCAAGGTACAAAACATTTCAAACACTGGATTTGGTAATATTGTCAATGGGGATTGATAACTTCAATTGCTAAACATTTGGGATATACAATGTATCACTAAGGACAATGGTGACAGGTTTTATTTCATTGTTAGTCAAACTGGAGTGAACCACTTATTACCAAATCGGCACTATACAGTCAAGGATGAAACGACATGGTGTTTTCCCTTGAAGTCATTGACCGATGTACCCCAACAACAACAACTTATTCTTGAGGAGGTACAACCTGAAGTAGAGGAAGAGGACACACAGAACCAACATTTCACCACACAATCACAAATACAGGTAAATAATGTTGATATCTTGTCAGCCATTCAGTTTATGGATCGTCGATTGCAAGAGATGAATGAACACCAACAACACTATAATTATATAGTGGATAAGATGTATTATTGGCACCTTGAGCGTTATCCAGATGATTTCTCTTCTCAGTAAATTCTTTGAACTTTCTTAGTATATGTTATGTTATGCATTTTTGTTTCCAATCTTTGAACCATATTTCAGTCTTTGAATTTATGTTATGCTATGAATTTTTGTTTTCAATTTTTGAACTGTAACACCCCGAATTTTCTACTAATACAATGTTGAATATTATTATTTTTATATAGTTATTTTTGTTAATTAAAGGGGTTTTATAGAGGTTTGTATTAATTATGAAAATTTTATATAAAGTTAATTTTGATTTTTTTAGGCCCAGAACGGCCTGTTCTGAAAAGCGGAACGGGCTGTTCCCAAAAAGCGGAATGGGCTGTTCCCAAAAGGGGAATGGGCCGTTCCAAAGGATGAAAGTGAACTATTTTGAAGGACCAGAACGGGCCGTTTCAAATGGTGGAACGGGCCATTCCAAATTTGTAAAAATGCCTAATTGGGTTTTTCCAGAACGGGCCATTCCCAAAGTGAAACGGGCCGTTCCAGAGTAATAAAAATGCCTAAAAAGTTAAGTTGGAAACGGGTCGTTCTACTTATGGTCAAGCTGTGTAAAAATGAACTCCAGAACGGGTCGTTCTGATTTCAGAACGGGCCGTTCTGCTTTTTGAAAACGAGTCGTTCCGATTTTGGAACGGGCCGTTCCAGTTGAAAATTTTGCACAGATTCGAAGGATCCGAAACGGGCTGTTCCGAATTCAATACGGGCCATTCCGGGTACACCAAGTTGCCTATAAATAGGGGAAAGGGGTGAAAAAAATTTATATTCAGTAAAAAGTGAAAATTTTAGAGAGAGAGAGAGAGAGAGAAAGAGAAAGAAAGAGAGGGAAAGGAAGAGGGAATCCTGAGGAGGAGGCCCTGCCCAAGTTTCAACTGCGCTTATCCAGGTAAGGGGGGAGTGAGAAACCTCACTCAGGGGTGTGGGGATAATGGTTGGATAGTCTGTTTGTCGAATTGGCCCCCAATCCCTTTCTGTTGTTCTGTCTGAAAAATATATATCCTAAGTATGATTTATTTATTTGTCATAAATATTTGATTAGAACTACAATCCTAAATACCTACTTTATAATAATTTAACACTAATAAAAAAATATAAAAATAAACATGTTAAATTTTATAAAAATAAAGTTTAATTTATTTATGATATAAATATGTTTTTAATATCTAATATATATTTTTAGATGATAGTTTTATTTTAAAATATATTTTATAATAAAAGTTTTAAATAGAACATAAATCTTTCAATCTTTTCTATTTTAATTTTTTTTAATCAACATATACAAAAATAAAAAACACAAAAGGTAAACATGCATGTTGCAAATTTTTTTTTATCAAAAATTAATTTTTTAAATATATTACATTATATATGTG